ATAAACTGAAACAAGCATACATAGCTCTGTTGCCTTTTTTCGTTAAAAATTTTTTAGACTTACTGAAGCTAAACATTTTCTGAATGGACAAAATAAGACGTTATTTGATCTTATTTACCTTGCTTTTTTAAATTTAATTGTAAAGTTACAGTAAAAACATATGCTTGTAACAAGTATAAAACCAAATTTTGTATTTAATAAACAATTTTTAATAGGAATAGCTTAAAGAAGCAGCTTTCATAGCTTGCCATGTTCATTTTAGGAGAGATTTTCTCCACTTTTGCGCTCATTTACTCTTGCAGAGGCCTGTTTATATACCTATATATACCTTACCTTCAGAAACAATGTTTTCTGCATTTGCCATAACTTCAATACTATCTATATAATAAAAGAAATAAAGATAAAAACAAATTTAAAAAAGTGTAACAAATATAAAATATTTACAGCACTTAATTTACATTAATCTGTTTATTTAAAATCAATTGTAATTTTAATGAAACAGGAAAGTTTCAGTTGAATCTTAAACATATTGAAGTACATATGTTTAATTAGGATATCTGAGACTATAGAACAATCATTTGAACTAAATACAAATAGTGTGCTTTAAAAATAAATAAAAAAAACATTTTCAAAAGAATTAAATATATGTTTGTATATTTTTACTTTTAAATTGTAAACTTAAACAAAAAATTACCATAACAAGTTTTGCAAACAAAATTTCCTTCACCAACTGTACCACCTTGAGATTCGATGTTCACAACACATGTGCATAATACACAAGGTAAACTTGTATTAAATTCATGATTCATTGCTGATCTTTTTAAGCTATATATATATATATATATATATATATATATATATATATATATATATATATATATATATATATATATATATATATATATATATATATATATATATATATATATATATATGTAAGTTGATTTTAATAAAAAGGCAGCGTATAACTATTTTTAAATATATTTTAATGTAAAAATATATCAACGATATTTCGCTGACCTATTGTGGTCAGCGTCTATATAATATATACAGCGTCCAATATATATATATATATATATATATATATATATATATATATATACATATATATATATATATATATATATATATATATATATATATATATATATATATATATATATATATATATATATATATATATATATATATATATATATATATATATATATATATATATATATATATATATATATTGCAAATGGGATGCTAACAAAGGTAAGAAATAATGTAGACTATGCTTCCTTAGCAGTATCTGGTAAGCTTTCTTTGGCTCACATCATAATTATTGATACCAGACATAGGGACAAAAATATTCTATAAATTAAAAAGCCTTAAAATTCTACAAAAAAAAGTCTATGGAAAAATTCAACTAAATAGCTTTGACAGTCTATCAAAAACAATGAAATTAGATCAAAAGATCTACTTGCTGAAAAATGCCTTTTCATGAAAAATTATAAACAGAAATAAATTATTTCAACAATTAATTAAAGTTTACAATTAACATTTCCAACTAGTCTTAAATCAGTACAAAAATCTTATACCAAACAATTAAAGAGATATATGTTTATCAAAAAAGTAAAATAGTTCATCATGTAAATATCTGAATAAACTATGAAACAAGTATATATATATATATATATATATATATATATATATATATATATATATATATATATATATATATATATATATATATATATATATATATATATATATATATATGTATATATATATATATATATATATATATATATATATATATATATATATATATATATATATATATATATATATATATAGATTGTATATTATATATATATATATATATATTGTATATGATTATATATATATATATATTTATATATATACAAATATATATATATTTATATGTATAGTATATACATGGTAAGGCATAAGTTTCTTACAATTTTCACAACTACCAAAAATGTGCTTCACGCTCTAAAGATAATGGTTTTAAAACTCATTTCAAACTTGTTTACTTTCAGTATCAAAATCGTAACATGAGGGCTCACGGAGCCCTTATGTTACGCTAAAACGTAACATGAGGGCTCAAATAGTAACGCTAGGGCTCAAAAAGTAACATAAGGGCATTTTGCGTAACATCAGGGCTCTTAAAACGTAACTTGCGGGCTCACACAAACTACTACTACTACTACTACTACTACTACTACTACTACTACTACTACTACTACTACTACTTCTACTACTCTTACTGCTATAAATGTATACATATATATGTATTATATAAATATACATATATCTTTATATAATACATATATATGTATATGTATAAGTATATATGTATATATATAAATATATATGTATATATATATATATATATATATATATATATATATATACATATATGCACGTACATATTTATATATATACATATATATATATATATATACATATATATATATATATATATATATATATATAATATATATATATATATATATATATATATATATATATACATATATATATATATATATATATATATATATATATATATATATATATATATATATATATATATATATATATATATATATATATATATATATATATATATATATATTCACACACATTTATATTTAGAGAACTAATTAGCCACAGCAAAGCCAATGGATTTAATAGTAGTCATTTCAACATTGGACAGTATGTGACTGAAAAAGAAAGGAAACCTGGTTGTTGTGGTTGAGATATATGAAATATTTAACTTCATAAATTGATTTTATGAAGATGTATTATGATTACGATGGTATATTATGATTAGGGAGATGGACATTAAATCGTGCACCACTTTTTGGAAAATCAGCATAACTTATGCAAGACTAATCTAAAATTAGTTCTATAGAAACAATGAGTTTTCCAGCACTTTTGTAAATCGATATTTTGAAATAAAAGTTTACTAACGAATGCATTTGAAACATTAGTAATATGAGATTGTAGGCAAACACTTTTGAATAAATTTTTGATTGCTGAATAAATGAGAGATGGTTTCAAGTGATGATGATTTTGGGGCGTCTTTAATGTTGTTCGAGTGCTTTTTTAAAATGTGTGCTATGATATCTCTACTCCATTAGTTTATATTTTAGACTTTATAGTTTTATATAATCTTAGTTTAATTTAATCATTGTTATTTCTGTTATTAGTTTTGTTTTATTAAATTAATTATAACCATTTTTAACTCTGAGAGTTAGTTTTTTAAAAACAAAAATTTTCTTTAAATTTCTTCTTACAATTTTTTTATTTTATTTTATTGGTTTATGTACATTTAATGTTACAAAAGGGATATTTATTGAATATATTTATTATAAGATTTATTGTTTTTTAAATTGTACGCAGGTGTTTTTGGATTTATTGTTTTGTTAGATAAACTTCTATGCATCTATATATATGAATTTTATACGCGTATATAATTATATCCAACACACTAACTTAAGCGACTCTGTTTTGTCAATTTTTTTATCGTTAGGTTAGCACTAACTTTGTAATTGTTTTATGAAATAAAAATTCTAAAGTCATTTAATGCTTTGTTTACCTATAAATTTTGATCATTTAAAATAAGAGTAAGAGAGAAAATTTCGATCATTATCATCGGGATAAATAGCCATTCTAGACGATTTTTTTTTTCCGTCAATATAAATGATTAACATAGTTGTACGGAGCTTAAAAAAACTTAGAAAACTGAGGGGTCTTTCAACTTTAGAAGTTAATTGGATCCAACGTTATTGCATTTTTTATGCTGGAAAAACTGATGATTTTTTGACAAAACGCCTTGTCATTAAGTATGGAAAATTTGGCGTGAAAAAAAAAAACTTTAAAAATATCTTCATTTGAAAAGACATTCAGTAAAAGCGGTGAATTAATCTCCTCAATATCCCAATTTACCAATTCACTGTAATCATTGGCTTCAAGATTTAGTGTTACAGGTTGTTTAAAATGTCTATTGTGTTAGTATTTCTGGACTTGAGTATCCTTTGTATGGCTGCACTTCTAGCTTCTTTTCTTTAGTCATTTTCGGTGGCCAATAAAATATTCTCAGTGATGGCAAAATTATTTTTTAAAACTTGCTCCATTACCATTACTATGCATTTTGCACCAATAAATGTATTTCTTATTAATTCATCCAGGTACCATGAATTTTGAGCGCCATCTATTGCAAAACAATGTGATTTAATATTGAACCACATAAGTTTTAGAAGCCTGCATTGGGAGATTTGATATTTTAATTTAGAATTTTAGCTGTTATTTGCAAAATGTGCAGAGATTACTCAAACAGTCTTTTTTTATTTTTTTTATTAGATTCAATTGAGCTAACAAATTAAAAATGTATTATTGCTCAATCAATTCATATGTAAGGCTTTCGACAAGTTAAAGTATTATAACAATACAAGAAGTCACTGAAACTAAGAAAAAAAAAACTTCAACTATTTGTGTTTTTATCTCAAAGCGCATTAACATTTAAATTGGTTCAATTTATAAAAAATTTTAAAGAAAAAGAAATGACTGCATTTTTTAAAGTTTAATTTATTATTACATTTAAATATAAATATGTTCATAACAAAATAAAGTTTCATTTCTAAAAGCAATGCATCTCATACGGTACCATCGATTCGGGATGCAAATGTCACATTTTATCTAAAAATAAATATTTAATGTACATTTTCTATTTGAGTATATAAAGTATTTTTTTTTTATTTGAAATTTTATTTAAAAATAATTAAAATATACTTTATTACCCATTTAACTTTTTTTTGATTTTTTCTAGTTTTTGGACCAATTTCGCTTCCACAAATGCGACACAAACTACTCTGCCGACTTTTTTGACCTATTGATTAAATTTAGTATCATTTTTTTTTTGTCCTTTTTTTTAGATATCATTTAACATTGAAGTAGTATAAACATTTTCAGTTCTCTAAAAAATCTCACAAACCTTCTTTTTCTCTTTTTCTGTATGCATTAACTTCTTTAAGTGGAAAGACACGCACCAATACTTCTCCATTTATATAATTTTCAGCAAACTATATAAATAAATTCATTCATATGCATATATATATATATATATATATATATATATATATATATATATATATATATATATATATATATATATATATATATATATATATATATATATATATATATATATCCATTACAGTTAGGAGTCTTAAAGTTATCTTGAGGCAGAATACTCCACATGATATACCATCAGCTTGTATAATAGCATGTAGTAATGTAAATATTTCAAGCTTTTCTGAAACACCATATCTTTGTTGTAAGTAACAACTACTGTATAATAGTAAAAAAATTATAAAATATGGAAATACAAATTTTGACATAGGAATATCAAATAATAATATCATACTTCCATTTCACTTCTTCTTTTTTGATGGAATTTATCTGTTCTCCCATAGGATCCATAGAGTGAATTGTTTTATTACCTGGTTTGATTATCTTAAACACAAGTGAGTTTCAAAATCAGGTTCAAGGTTTGGTTCCCTGTACAAAAATGGGGAACTTTTTGTTCTTAAAGAAATAAACTTTTTCAAAAAACAATTATACTATTTTACATAGTGCAAGCGTCCAATGGAATTTTGCCACCATGCATTTATATATATATGTGTGTGTGTGTGTGTGTAAAAGTACTCTATAATTAGATTAACGAATCATTATTTTTTTTAGATAAAAGTTTTTGAATACCTTATGCCGTTTTCGTATTAAATCAGTTTTAATTATCAATTCATCCAGTGAGAGTAGCCCAGCTGGCAACAGTACTTCGATTCGATTCTTCAAAGCATCAATAAATGGAATAGCATTCATTATATAGTTTTATATTTAGAATTACAATTTTATTTAAATGAAGACAAATTTAAAAAAAAAATGCAATATTGTTTTTTTGTACAAAAATTTTATTATGAAGTACATTAACTAATCATACTTTTTCTTTACTGTTTACTAATAGTTTGAGATAAATATAAACAACTTCGTCACTGAGACATTTGTTTAAAGTGTCTTGTAACGAATAATCGTATACCTTCCAGCCACCTAAATCTGGATATATACCCAAAATGACTTTTACAGGGTTTTTAATATGGATACATTTTATGATTTTGTGACCTATTTAGGAAATGCAATTTAAGGATAATTTCATCAAAATTTAAGCATGAGTCTTTCATCTAATAAAATAACGACTATTAAATTTATTGAAGATTACATGTTTTAAAACTCTACACCTATTTTTTCACCAGATGGGATAATGTTTAAATTAATTATATAAATAAGGTTACATAAAAATCTTTATTTCCCTCATGCGCCACTGAATAATACATCCCTTCTGTATCATCAACTATGTAGCTTTTCCTTGTATTTACTATCTCTAAAACATTAAAATAAATAAAAACAAATTAAAATAAAATGCTAACAATTATAAATGATTAGGTAAGTTTTTAATACATACCTTTACTGTCTTTAACTAAAAAGTTTTTTATTGTCTCTGTCTTTTATTCTTTAAAAAACAAGCAATACTTTAAAATAAAGCAGTAACATTTATAAATGAAAAGTTACTTTTTAAATCATACTTTTACCATCTTTAACTACGTAACTTTTTTTTTTGTATCTGCCACCTCTAGAAAAAAACCATACATTACAATAAAAGACTAACACTAACAAAATATAAAGGTAATTTATTATTATATACCTTCACTGCCTTTAACTACCGAGCTTTCTATATAAATATCTGCCTCCTCTAGAAAACAAATTACAACTAAAATGAAACGCTAACAACTATATATGATTAGATAAGTTTTTAATACATACCTTCACTATCTTCAACTACAATGATTTTTATTGGCTTCACTGCCTTCTCTAAAAACAAGCAATACTTTAAAATAAAATGCTAACATTTATTTATGAAAAAGTAACTTTTTAAATCCTACTTTTACCATCTTTTACTACAAAACTATTTTTTGTATCTGCCTCCTCTAAAAAAAAAAAAAATACATTAAAATAAAAAGGTAACGCTAACAAATTGTAAAGTAATTTATTATTATATACTTTCACTGTCTTTAACTGCAAAGATTTTTATAATTATCTGCCTCCTCTAGAAAATAAATTATAAATAAAAAAAAAACGCTAACAATTACAAATGAATAAGTAAGTTTTTAATTCATACCTTTACTATCATTAACTTCAAAGCTTTTTGTTGGTGTTTCTACCTTCTCTTGAAAATAAGCCATAAAATAAAATTATGAAATATATATATTTATTTTTTTTTCTTTTTTTTTTTTTTAGGTGCCCCAAGAAGTCCTTACGGTCTTATCACAGAGCACCGCGCAAAGGCATTTAATAGAAAGTTCACGCCTCCTTCCCAACCGATGTCGCAAATATGTTTTAACTATAAGTTAAAATAAGAAAACATTGCCCAAAAATTTTACCCGAGTATAAATTAAAAAACAATAAAAATTATTTTTATATTAGTATTACCCGTAGAAAGTTAAACAAATATTAGGTTTGAAAAAAAAAATTATTTTATAAATAGTATGAAAACTTTATCGAAGTAACAAGTATACGAGTAACTTTATCGAAGTAACAAGTATACGAGTAACTTTATCAAAGTAACAAGTATACGAGTAACTTTATCAAAGTAACAGGTATACGAGTAACTTTTACAGAGTAACAATATTTAAAAAAAACATTTCTCTTCTCAGCGTTTTTTAAAGACGTTTAAAAACCTGCATTATGCGTAATAAAATTTAATCGCCTTTGATTAGCTATGGGTTTCTGAGACAAGTGTCTAACAAAGATGTCTTTTAAACTAAAATAAGTGAACATAAACTCTCAACCTCAACTAATATATTTAAAGATATAATGTCACTTCACTTTGTTTTAGCTCATTCTTTTTCTAGCGCTTATCTTTATTTGACCTTTAAATTTTCTAAACTGATCAAAAAAGAGCTTCTTGATTGACAAAAAAGTCAAATATTGTGCGGTTGTGGCGCAGTGGTTAGGTCGCTTGCTCTATAAGCAGAAGATCCAGGTTCAAAACGAGCTTTAGACATAATTCGCTTCATGGTAAGGAAGGAGGCGCAAACTTCCTGGTTAAATACACTTCTGTGGTACTCTGTGACAAGACCGTAAGGACTTCTTTGGTCACCTTAATAACAAATTAAAAAAATATATTTTAAATAAGGACAATTTCTGGGCAGATATTTTGTTATGTTTTTTATGGTTACGCGTTGGTACTAGAAATGTTGAATAAAAATTTAATCAATCTTTATTATAACAATTGATATAGTCAATTTTATTACCTAACGGAATCATTTAGCCACCACGCTCTCGTCTTTTTTTTCAAATTTGTCGAATTCAACGCTGTAAATCTGTCATTATAAAGATGATTATTATTTGTTAGTGAAATTTTCTTCGAACAATCACGCACTTTAGCATTTGTGTCATTGAGAAAATAGGAAGACCTAACAAAAGCAGAATATTCTTAGTGTGGAAGAATAAATAGAGTGTAATTGCTCAATAGTATTTTTTTCAGAATTGTTACAAAAATGTTGTGTTAACATTTGATGATATATATATATATATATATATATATATATATATATATATATATATATATATATATATATATATATATATATATATATATATATATATATATATATATATATATATATATATATATATATATATATATATGCACTGTGGACATAGAGCAACAATAATCAATATGTTTTAATGTTAGTAAATTTTTTCATTTTAAATTACTTAACCCTTAATAATCATAATCGCAAAACTGTTTATGTACTTTGTCTTTTCCATCTTTTACAGTACACTATTTTTTACCATTTCTGTTCAGTATGATATTGGACGATTCTTAATCCGAAATACTTGATTTTATAATTATTGTAATAAATATAAGTCAAATTTTTAACCGCCATATTTAAAAATTTGTATAATGTTACTAATTGTGAACTGGACTAAATATTATTAACTCACCTCAGCAGGCTCAATAATCACATTATATTTCAATACCAAACCACCCAATGAAACGTTAATATTTAAAATAGTTCTTTAAAAATTTTCTTTTATTAAGAAAAAAAGAAGCTTCTATTATTCAAAAAAAATATCTGAAGAAGTTATAACCTTCCCGAAACCTTACGCCTCAGCCACCATAGGTGGACGTAATGGAGAAAAATTTTAAATTGTGCAATAGAATGAAAAAAGACACCGTAATTGTTTATTTTCCTTCAAAACTTTTTGTACATTAAAACTAGTAAAATGTTTATGTTGTAAGATATGAAAAATTTAGAATAAAACTTTTTGAAATTAATTTCGTTCATTTTAAATCTTATGAAAACTTTAATTATATGACTTCGTTGAATAATGTCGCATGTTTAAATTGTTAGCTCAATCGTATCTAAAGAAAATAAAATATTAAATTAAAACTTTAAAAAGCTAAAAAACACTATAAATATTAAAGTTCCTTGATTTTATTAAAAGCTCTTTAATTAAATATATAAATTTTTTATAAAGATCTCCCCATCATGCGAGGACCTAAGAAACAATAAATAGCTAACAAAATTTGAGATACATATCTTACTTAAATTATACCTCCACCCTATGCAGGCGACTAAAATATTACATCCCCTTTAGTAATTCATAAAATATTTCAAATAATTAGTATATAGTAACTAGAATATAACATCCATCACTTGTATTTTTTGTATAAATTACAAAAAGAAACTAAAACTACATCCCCCTAAGTAATTTATAAAATATTTCAAACGATTAGTATTTGGTATTTAAAATATCACATCACTCCTATTTATTCTCAGCATATGACACAAAAAGAAACTGAAATTCTCACTTAAAAAATCACATCCCCTTATGTATAATTTTAAAATATTACTTCTCTCTAAGTAGTTCTTTACAATACTTGAAACGATCAGTAATTAGTGTTTTAAATATCAGATTCCTCACTTGTAAATTCTGTATGTATTATATAAAGAAATTGAAATTTTTACATAAAATATCATATTCCCCATATGTATACTTTTAAATATTACATCCTCCTAAGTAATTCTTTACAATACTTCAAACAATTAGTATTTGAAACCTAGAATATCACATTCCCCCTGTTTATTCACTGTATATGTCACAAAAAGGAACTGAAATTCTTACTTATATTACGCATCCACCCTATTATGGCGTCTAAAATATTACATCCCCCTACACGGCTGTTTTACTCAATATAAAAACGAGCGTGACGTCATGAGTTTATCAAAAAAAAAGTATTTCCGCATAAAAAGTATGAAAATTCACAAACTTTAAATTAATAGTAACTTTTTTATATAAATGCTTTCATCTTGCAATTAAAAAAAATATAAAAGATTTATCTTTCCTTGTTAAATAAATATTTACATTAATTGGTATAAAAATAAATATTGCCAAAATATTTTTAATAATTTAGAACCACTTTTCTAATTTTCGCATATTTTCCGGAAAACATGAGTTGGACCAACTAAGATTTCATAACATAGCTCAGTGCTTGATAGTTGAAATTTGGAACACTTAACCCTAAATGCCCATTCTATCAGATTCCTGCGTCATCCTAGAAATTTTTTTTACAAAAGGACTGTTTTTAAAGCATTTATATTTTTTAATTAATCGTTTTTAAATGCAAAACATAACTTTTTTGATGGATGACGTAAGTTAATGAAATTTCAACCTTTTATGCAAATGAAAATAAAAAAATTATTTTACTTGCCTTCAGCTATGTTATGAAATATGTTTTCAAAAATGTCATGTTTTACAACTAATCTTGTTCGTTTTAGGCGTACATTTGTGTTGACGTTTTTTTGCGATGACGTAACCTTTATGCATTACGTCACAAACTATTTATTAACGAATATTCTCCAAACAACTGTTTCGGCGAGTTAATTTTTGAAGTATAAAGTAAACAAAGTTACGCGGAATTTTTCTCTTTGAATTATCAAACTAATATCAGATAAGTTGTTAAATCCACTTTTATTTTGTGCATATATTTGTTAATTAATATTACTTTATTTGTTTTTATTATATTGATTAATAAGTCAATATTATTTTGATAACTATGTATTCAACTGAGAGGGAAATTCTAAAACAACATATTGGATGGAAAAATGGTTGGGAAGATAGGTGTAACTTTCCTTTTGTTAAGCGATTAATTAGGACAGATAAGATCAGTAACAATGTCATTTTCATTTTAATGACAGTCTTTAAAATAAGAAGTGATTTATTTAGTTTCATGAGTTTTCTTTTGCCAATTGATTTTGATATGCCTAGTAATGACGAGTTTGGTAAAATGTGCCTAAAGTTAACACGCCAAAAAAAGAAATATAAAAAAAATATAAAAAACGAAGAATTTTTTAAAATCCAACTGTCGCAAGCTCCACCCAAAAAAAAAAAAAAAAAATCAGCAGATGCAGATGACTTTTTCACTTTAAATAACAGTCAGGAGCTACTGAATCAAATTGATCAATTAACTTCTGAAAATAAAACAAATATGGAGCAAATAGAAAAATTTTAAATGCAAGTATTTAAGTTGGAAGCTGAAATTACAGATTTAAATTCTAAAAATAGGGCTCTCAACACACATTGTAGCTCATTAAGTTCTCAATTAGAGACTATGAGTATTAGGCTAAAACAGGAGGAGCAGTTCCTACTTTTTTTTTTTAAAAAAAAAAATTGAAACAGCACAGCGTAAATTTGCATCTGCTCGTTTCAAAAATGTAAGATTGCTAAAAAAAAATTAATATTGAAAAAAAATTTGTAAAAATTAGTGATTTAAGCCAGAACAGTTGCCAAATTTGCAAATGTTTTGCTAGTAGCGATAAGGATTTAGTTGTGGTTGATTCTTATTTAGACTACGACAACATTGGTTCCTCTGAATTATTTTGTGGGTTTAAATTAAGTAATCCACAGATCGTATCAGTTAAAAAGCCAATAGTTAGTAAAAAATATACTTACATTAAGTTAGGAAATGGTAAACCTTATTCTAAGTTAGGTAGGCATGCTGCAGCTAAACGATCTAAACTTGCTTTTATATTTCTTCGATTATTAGCTTGTTCAGATTTAGAAAGTGATTTGTCTATGTTGTTTTGTGATTCTATGTCTTGTGAAAAGTCAATATTTTGTTGTGTTGCAAATAAGTTGGGTTTAGTTAAGCAGTTAAGTGTTTCTGATGTTGTAGAGCTACAGAGCCAATTAATGATGCCCATGGCTGAATTCCGTAGACTAAGACGTATTGTGTGTAATCTTGGTGCAAGGATTCTCCCATCTGAGCCCAAGATAAGACAAGAACAAGAAATGCGGACAATGCATGTCAATAAAGAACATGTCACTGTGAAGCCCATGTTACTTTATCCATCTGCGAATGAAGCACCTTGTTTAGTATCTGTACTGATGGTCAAGAATTTTTGTAGTTCGGCAAGTTAAACAAGTTGTAAAATGTAATCCTTGTATTTGTGCCTTAACTCTGGATGAAAATACTTCTGCACTTGTGACTCTGAAACAGTATACCTTAAATCCAAAGACTGGCCTTATAAACGCATCAACTGATGTTATTTATTTATGCAAGTTGGCTGAAACAGAATTTAAAATATTAGAGCAAACAGGTAGTTTAAATAAAAGGAACATAATAGAAATATTAGTGATAAAATGTTTACGTAATATGCACAAATCTGTTTTTAGTTGTTTGCATGATCATATGTTTGATGAAGATCCTCAAGGTAATCATATAATATCTTTAGTCAAAATTATTCTTGCTAAATATCTAAAGATATGATTGCACCACAAAGCTGACTCGATCAACGATTTGCGACATAATAAACGTATACGAAGTGTATTAACAAAGCAAATTTTATTTTCGAATCAATAAGAAATTTTATTGTATATTAATGTAATGTTTAATAAAACATATAAAATTGTATTAACTGTTACGTTTTCTATTTTAAGAAATCTAAGAATGCATTAAAAGTTGATACAAATAATAAAATAATAAGTTTAATATTATTTAAAAAAATATATTACATTTAACTTTTTTAAATAATATTTAACTTATTATAAAAAATTTTACATTTAACGTTTTCTTAAAGCTTTATTTTGTTTCTATCGCGTTTTGTTTTGCCCAAATGTGACGTCACGCGCTTAAAGATGTTGGTTTCAAAATATTTAACTTAACGCGGTGTCCATCAGTTTATATGGTCGAAGTTTATGTCAAACAAAATAAGAATTCATAAACAAATAAAAAAGCATTAAAATAAATAATTTTAATTACCATTAAAAAAAAAGGAAATTTTTTTCTAAATTCTCCTAATTCTCCAATTAAAACCTTGTGAACTCAACGAAATAATAATTACTTAATGACGTATTTCATTTTGTTAACGAAAAAGCGCCAGAACTTAAGGCCGTGCGTTTAACCGAGCCGAACCGTTCCTTTGAAAGAAAAAAACCGAATGGA